GATACAGTTAATGTCTGAGATTAGTGCCTAGTTATTGAAGAAGTTGATTCTTTTCTCAATATTAGGTGGTGTATAAATGTTTGTAATAAGAAAAGGCTGATGTTTGATTGTGGTTTTAGCTAAGGCTACTCAATCGTTATGGGAGATTTTGGTATTAGTAAATTTAATGTTTCTATTTCCTATGAGAATTGCTACTTTGGAGGACCAAAGCAAGTCAAAGCCCTATTGTTGAGAAAGAAATCTTCTGGTATTTAAGTCTTTTAAATTTGTTTTTTTGAATTATTATGATGTCTAATTTGTATGATTTTAATAATGTAAGTGTTTTTTTTTTTTTAAAAAAAAAAAACCCCCACATTTAAACGTACTTTATTTATGTACATAATTACATATTTACATTGGGGTTTAATAAAGCTAATTATATTTTTGGTTCTATTGAATTTAGTGTTTATATTCTGATAAGCTAATTTATATAAAAAGTTGTATTCATGTTTAAGTCTGATAGTAAAGGAATTATTGTGCTACCCCATCTAGCTTGAGTGTACCAGCACCATATTTTGTAAATAGTAGTTATATGGAGCCAGATTGCCACTTCTTTCTTTTTTTTTGTCTTTGATGTTGGTTGCTTAAAAGATATTATCAAGTGTATATGGATTAGATTCATTTTCTGGACCCTTAAGCAACTTATATGCTGTATCCCATATTAGTTTGCTTAAGAAGTATTTCAAAGCGAAGTGTTCAATCGTTTGAGTAATATAAGGACAGTTGGGGCAAACCTCTAAGTTGTTTTGATTAATATAAATTAGACAGTAGTCTAATGGAAGTGCTCTGTAATATAAGTGCCAGAAAGTGTCTTTCTTTTTATTGAGTATCCATTTGGTGCTCAGCAATTTGTATTCTGGGAGTTTTTGGTTTTGGTTGTTTTCAGCTCTGGTTTGTGAGTTGGTTGCTTCATGTAGGCCTTTAAGCGCTTCTTTTACAATAAATTGTAAACCATCTTTGTTTAATTTTAATTTGTTCAAGTGACCATGACCAGTTATAATTAGCTTCAATATTGCCTTTAAATCTTTTCTAGGCAATTATGTAAGGCTTCTATTTGTCTAACCATCCCTTGGTTTTGCAAGGAGTTTGTGTTAAAGCTTCTTTAGGGTCAAGGTTTCTTTTGTTGTATAGCTCTGAAGCAAAATGGATAGAAGAGGGAAAGAAGTTAACCAAATACTTCCTTGCTTTATACAAATCCAGGTATACAACAAGATGTAGCACCAAAATTAAGAAACCAAATACTACTGTTGAGCCTACACAAGAACAAACAATAAGCTATATTAAGGACTTTTATTAGGACCTTTATTCCTTAAACTGTAATCCAGGCAAATTTGCCTGGAAAATTAAAGTATATTTAGTATTTTTTAATAAAAAATAATTTATTAATAATATGGGGTTTATATTTATTATAAAATATATTCTTGAAAACATATTTTATAAACTTTATTATAAAAATTTTTTAAAATTATTAGTAAACTTTTGAGTAATAAAACTTTATAGTTTTAGTTTAAAAATTTTTATTATTAAAATTTTTTCAAGATTTTTTTTTGCTCTTAATACAAGTTCAAATTTTTATAAGTAAATTGCAAAACTTATAATTATGAAAAATATCATCCTTTATATAAACTAAAATATTGTATTAAGAACTAAAATATTGTATTAAGAACTATAGCTTTAAAATTAATATTTAAAGAGTTCATTAAGAATAAGTAGATAATTTTTTTAGTTAAAAACTTTTTTCTAAATTGATATACTTTTATCTTATAAGCAACTTAAATTAAATACTGCTATAATATAATCCTTATTTTCAAATATTATTAAAAAAAAATTTATTTAAATATTTTAAAAATTAAAAAATATAGATCATAAGTATATTTATGATAATTTTCCTACAGTTTAAGGGATAAAAGCAAAGATATTAATAAAAAAGCAACACTCCAAATCACAAACAATCTGAAACAAGTCTCTTCTAAGCAGAACCTTTGCCTGACCAAACCTATTACAGAAGAAGAAATCAATCTTGTCATTAATAATCTGCCTAATAACAAGGCCCCAGGGTAGAGGTCTGCAAATTAGTAACTTTAAGACCTGGCCCGGCCCGCATTTAATATTAAAAATTTTTTGCCGGCCCGGCCCAGCCTGGCTTAATTATTGCCCGCCCGCCTGCAAAATATATAAATTTTAAATTTTCAAAACAATTTAATTTATAAATTTTAAATTTTCAAAACAATTTAATTTATAAATTATTAATTTTGTATAAATTAGTTTAATTGGTGATTCACTAGCCAACCAGAGAGTAATCATAGTACAATATAATACAGATTATATATAAAAATTAGAGTTTTTAAAATATAGTATGCTTTATAAATTAATTTAACTATATTATGATTGATTATTGATTAAGTTTAGTTAATAGTCAAGCATAATTTGTAGACTCAATTAAAAGTAGATTAATTATTGATGTTGATTATTTATGGAGATAGTTTAATGTTGATCAATAATGTTTGATTAATTAGATAGTTAAATTTGATTGATTAAGAAAATATTATAGAATATATTATTTTTAAAATTTTTTTTTTAGTAGATAAGATATAATTGATCAATTATTGACTTGATAATTGATTAATAATATATACTTAAGCTTATAAATTATATGCTTGATTAATTATCCTTAATCAAGTTTATATAATTAATTTTTAATAGATTAAATCAAGCAATGATTTTTTGTAAAGTCAATTCACTAAGTATACTTATATTTAAAATTTTTTTATATTAAGTAAATTATCTTTGAGTTTCTAATTAAAGTTGTAGAGTTTGTCAAAATGAATTTAATAGTAGTTAAATTATCAAAATCAGCTTGATAAATTATAAAATATTTTTAAAAAATATTTTATTAATTATATAAACTTCTATATAGTTAGCAAAATATTTTTTAAAATTATTTTATGATTTACTAAACTGTTTTTGATAATTTAACTACTATTAGATTCATTTTGATGATCTCTACAACTTTAATTAAAAACTTAAAAGTAATTAACTTAGTATAAAAAAAGTTTTAGACATAAATATACCATATTTTAAAAACTGTAATTTCTATATATCCTATCAGATTATACTTGATCACTCTCTAGTTAACTAGCAAATCACCAATTAATTATTAAATTTGATTTGGTTTAACCTGGCTCACCCAGGCCTACCCGGCCTGCAATTATAAAATTTAGGCCCAGCCCAGCCCGCAGTTATAAAAATTTTGCTTCAGGCCCACCCAGCCTGCAAAAAATTGCAGGCCAGGCCATGGAACCCAATGCAGGCCACTACCCCAGGGTCAGATGGCTTGACATATGAATTATAATGACTAGAACAATTCCAAGCTCATGGAGTAAGAGCCTAATTACACTTATTCCTAAAAAGGCAGACAATTTATCTATTCTAAACAACTGGAGACCTATTTCTTTAGTTAATTTAGATGCAAAAATCTTTATGAAAATTCTAGCAAATAGGATTAATCCTATCTGCAATGAGATTATTGGCACTGTGCAACAAGCATTTATTGGCAAAAGATCGATTATCAATACTGCTCTGGACATCATTACTGTTCTAAGAAATCAAGAAGACCAATTGGCACAACACTGGTTCTTACAACTAGACCAACAAAAAGGTTTTGATAGGGTAAACCACAAGTTTTTTAAACTCGTCTTAGAGTAAATAAACTTTAGCAACAAGTTCATCAACATTATTAATTTCTTACTGACTACTCAAAAAGCTCATATAGTTGACTCCAGCTTCATTTCTGAGGCTTTTAGAGTTGAAAGGGGGGTTAGACAAGGAGATCCACTCTCTCCACTTTTATATGTTCTAGCTATTAACCTTTTGATCCAAGCAATCAATCAAAACATTAAAGGTATCTCAGTTAACAGCTCCATATTTAAAGTCGCAGCATATGCAGATGATCTCTTAATTGGTATTGACCAGATTTCAGACTGAAACAAACTACAAGAAGTCTTATCTCTATATGAGCAGGCTACTAATGCACTTGTTAATAAATCCAAATCTACTTTCATTCCTTTTACTGCAAATGCTAGCAAAGTGGAACTGAGTGATCAATCTAGATTTAATTTACTAGTAGACACTCAAAGCAACATCACAATTCTAGGCTTTATGGTAAATTCTAAAGGTGAACCTAATAAAGCCCTCTGGAGCAACACAATTAAAAAAATTAAAAACAAGATTCAAGACCTCTCTCTCTCAGAGAAATCTCTCCTTCAAGGAAAAGATTCTCGCAACCAAAATGTTACTAGTTTCAAAGATCTGGTACTCAGCCTATCTCTTTTCTCTAACCAGAAAACAACTCAACGAAATTGACTCTCTTATCAAAGGCTGGATTAAAAGCAATTCACAAATGCTTCCACAATACTCAACATTTTAGCATAACTATGAACAAGGTGGTCTGTCAGCTTCTATTCTTAAGGACATGCTTGATGCAAGACTTCTTACTATACTGCTCAAACTCTTTACAAGTAATAGTTTCTGGGCTACTACAGAAAGAGAAACTATAAGTACAAAGCTTTATAACAAGAGGAAAATCTCAGCTACTATAGCCCTATTGCAAACCTCCTGCAAAACTAAGGGCTGGTCTGACAGCTGGAAGCTTTATATTACAGCATGGGGAAGATTCAAAGAAAAAATCTTAACCAATGATACATGGCCTTGGTCTTTAGAACAAATCAAAATTAGCAATATTTCAGGTAATCTGTTTACAGTAAAAGGAGTTCTAAAAAGCTTTCACACCCCTCAAGCTCAGCCACTACTAATTCTTTAGAAAAGAACTCCTCTTACGATTGGATAAAGACAAAGTGGTTACTGAACAAAAAGAAGGATATATTTTGGAGACTAACTCACAGAGCACTTTCTCTTGGATACATGCTTATTCATATTGACCAAACCAACTTAGGGGACTGTCCTAATTACCCCTTTAAATGCTCACTAAGCAAAGTAATCTGGGAAACAACCTACAGAGCGCTTATCAATACAGATAGAGATGCCATCCCTAGAACTTTAGAAGACATCACTTTGGCAACCAACAACATGAACACCCAAAAAAGAAAACCAGCCATTTGGTTTCATATTACAGCTATCTATAAAATATGGTGCTGGTATACCCAAGCCAGGTGGGGTGATAATATAGTTCCTCAAGAGGCAATAGCAAACATCATAACTATAAGAATCAAACATGAAATCAAACTATTACAAAAATTACTCAACAAAAAAGTTTTTTTCAAATCAGAAAAAACTAACAATATTCTTAAATATATTAATCTCAATATATAAATATGTATACTTAGATGAAGGGGCGTGGCGACTTAGTGAAGTGGTCAAGTTGTCACCCCCCAAGTGGCACATCCAGAGTTCAATTCCCACCAATGACGAAAAATCAAATTTTTCTGTGCATTGATGACTATTTCGGGTGTTGGGATGGAGATCCTGTAACGACGATCAGACCAAATATGTGCAAGACGTAATGATCGCCTAATGGATGGCTTATCTCGCAAGCCCTAATCAGGGGTGGTAGTACAGACTTGGAAGATCTTGGGGTATTCGTGTAATAAAGGAGTTACACAAAGGGATACAAACCGATAAAAGGCAGTGTAAACCCATAATAAGTTCTCAGTACCTGTGTAAATCCGTTGGACTTTGTCCCGAATAGGAATCCGCTTGGCAAGTCCCGAGTAGAGAGGTAGCACTACTTTCGACGGTTCTGGAAAGTCTGAGAAGAGAACCAATAAGCTGTGGATCTGGACGAGGACCGGGTGTTTGGCAAGCACTATACCAACCAGGCCGCCGGAATCGATTGGAGGAAAAGGGCACAGGCTGGTATCTGGTTAAGCCAGTAGGAAAGTGGGTAATGTAACTTGTGGACCAAACCAGGCTATCTGGATTGGAAGTTTGGTGAAACAGTGGAAGGGTTCCCGATTGGATGAGTAAGGGGCTGGGATAGAGTGAACTCTATAAGGGCAGAAGTAGGTAACGGTAGCGGCTTCGGCTCGCAAGTACTTGTTCTCGGACTAGGCGTAAGTTACCAAAGCCTAGGTCAGCCTAAATGTGGGTATGGAAGGCTCTAGCAGGTTTACCTCGAGGTCAAAGGACTCTCTAAAATGGTAAAGTCTGCTTTAAAGCCCTAAGCCAGCATGTGAAAATAAGGTGGTACTAAGTATCATCGCTTGGATATAAAAGGATTGGTACATAGGCGCAGAGGGTTTAAATAGGTAACCCCCTAGTGGAATGCAGGTACGGCATCTAGTGTAAAACCTGATGATAGGCAGACTACTTAAATAGGCGCTCAAAAGGCGCAGGTATGGCTAGTTGTACTCAACAAATATGTACAGCCATTAGGATATGTCTGACGGTTAAAAATACTACTAATATTCGAATAAAGAGCAGTGTGGCAAAGAGGTCACCTTAAAATCAAAAAAAAAAAATGTATACTTAGATGTGCTTTTAATAAAAAAAAAAATAAAAAATTATAGTGTTGGTTCTTGTATGGGAGGTGGCTCTGGTAAGAGCTACCTGCTTTTCTATATAGACCTTCTGAGCAAGCATATGCCTTCTTTTTTGCTTTTGCTTTTGTTTTCTAGAAACAACTGTGATGAAAGAGCTGTTAAATCATCTTGAAATTCTATTTTCATTTGGATAAAGTCATTTGTGGAGGTAGTGGTGGTTGCTGGTGTTGCTTCTACTTCTGCTAATGAGTTGGAGGGGTTTGTAAAAATATGGAGGTCTGTTCGGATCTGTTATTCAGACCCTTAACATTCAGTGTAGCAATTTTAATTATTATAAAGTTGTGGAGTAAGAGGCTATATTAAAAATAAATATTTTTAGTGTTGGTTCTTGTATGGGAGGTGGCTCTGGTGAGAGATACCTGCTTTTTCATATGAACCTTCTGAGCAAGTATATGCTTTCTTTTTTGCCTTTTGCTTTTTGTTTTCTAGAAACAACTGTGATGAAAGGATTATCATCAGTTGTATTAGAGGAGTTAAGAGCTGTTAAATCATCTTGAGATTCTATTTCTATTTGGATAAAGTCATTTGTGGAGGTAGTAGTGGTTGCTGGTGTTGCTTCTACTTCTGCAAATGAGTTGGAGGGGTTTGTGATAATATAGAGATCTGTTTCATAGCAGTCTCTAATGGCTGTTCTTCCAACAAAGTTTCAAATGACTCTGCAGTTGGTTTATTCTCTGTATTTTCTTGGTTAATATATAGGTTGTCCTGGCTAAAAGTGGTTTCTGAAGGATTAGAGACCATGATTTTGGTTCTTTCTCTTCGTTTTCTAGTCTCTTTTAACAGTTTTTTCATTTCTATTGAGGTTTTTAGCTCCTCACAGTCTCACAATAAAAGCAGAGTTTAGATGCTTTTTTCCATTCTGTAAAAATTTAGTAATTGCCAATACAGTCTTGGATATTACCAAATTTGGATGTTGCAGATCACCTCCTTTTTTGTACGATTAGAAAATTCTTAAGGCTTCTATTTAAGTCTATTACTAATCTATGAAGATCTATGAGGCTAAATTTACGCCAATCACCGTTCGTTTTCTTATTTGGTAAACAACTGCCTTCTAAAGCCCTTGGGATCATGAGGGATCCCTAGGCTACATAATTATAGGACAATTTTTATTAAAATTAATTTGAAAGTTTATTATTAAATGATTTTTTATAAAAAGAAATAAAAATACTATATAAATCGATTCTAGAAGAGTCGTTTACTAATAGTAGATCAATTTCTATATTTGGTAATATTCAAGACTGCAATATGAGTACTTCTTGGTATTCATGAGGCTAGCTCTTGATCTTCTGTAATTTCAAAGGTAACTAGCCATTGATTAGTGCAAATTGTAGTGCCTTTGAAGAAAAGTAGTTTGATTAAAGCAATCTGTCTAACATCCTGGAATATTTGTAAGATACTGTCACTAATGTATTTGGTATCTTCCATTGGGGTGTTTTTAAGCTTAATAGTAATAAAAGAGCAGTTGAGGTTAATAGGAATATATCTAAAAAAGATTTGTTTAAATAGAGAGATTCTCTCTGCTGCATAGTATTGAACCTTCTCTTTGTTTTTAATACAATTTCCAAGAAGACTCTTTTTTCTCTTGACATGTGTGTTTTCGCTGCTATTAAATTTTCACCTAGAGAAGCAGCTAAAGCAGCAATTATATCATTTGTAGTGTCTAAAATAAAAGTATTTTTGTTCTTAGAATAGATTTGTTGTCTGGGAGTAGATCTTTGTATAGGCTGCCTTTTCTTCTTTTTTGGTTTCGATTCAGTATGTTGAATTTTTTTGGTATTATCTGTTGTAGATGTACTAGTATTCTCATGAGTTGAAGTTTCTAATTGGTTGTTGTTTATCATGTATATCACATCTTGTTTACTGCTTGGCATGTATACTTCCTCCTGTTTATTGTTTACATTTTGTATGTAGTTTGTTTTGTTTATACTATCTGTACATGACTTTTGGTTTACCAAAGAAACTTTGGTTGTTACTTCTTTTATTTCTTTTGGTACCAGTTCCTCTTCTTCAGTTATACTAGCCCAGTCTTTGCTTGTTGATGTTGAAACTGTATTGTTGTAGTTGTCTGTGAGCCTATCTAGTTGAGGCTCAGTATGTTGCTCCAAACTTGCTTCTTTTTTAATATTGTTTTCTTTTGTTTTGAGAAGATTAAAAACTTTGTTGTTGCTAAAGTTCAGCCTAACTTTCTTGTGTTGCAACTTGCTCATGTTTAAAAACTGTTGTTTGTATTTTCTAGTAAACTGAAAAGAGTTTTTTTATATTGGTTATTTTCAAAAACTAGCTTTATGTACTTGTGCTTTATTTCATTAAAAAAAGAGATTTTTTTAATTAAATTAGTTAGCTAAAACTGAATAACAAAGCCTCCTGTATAATGTAAAGTTTAAAACATAGCCGAGTGATGCAAGACAAAAAACCCAAGAACTATGAAAAAAAACAAATCTTAATATATATTTTTTAATTTTAATTAGTCATGTATTATAAAATTGTTAGTATCTGTTAATATTATATACTGTTATATTTAAGTATTAGTTGGTGATGAAGCCACCACATGATCATGTACTAGTTATTGTAAAAAAAGAGATTTTGAGAAATCAGTTTAGCAGTTAATTAAAGTGATATTTAATGATAATACAAAATGAACAATTGATTTTGTGCAGCCTTAATCACCCGATTTTAAATTAAATATATATTAAATTTATTATATATATTAAATTTATTATATCAAAGTTACCAACTTAATTAAACTGGATAACTAGGTTATGAGAATAAAATTTTTAAATAATTTTTTTTTATTTTAAAATTCAGATTAGCAGATCATCAAAGGTTAGATGATGATATGAAAACTAATAGTATTAGTTTATATAGCTTTATTTATATAAATTTCTATCTATAGTTGTAATTAATTTAATCAAACAGATGGCTTACTTAGCTTTCACCTAGATATAACCTGCTTTAGTAACCCTTGGCCTATTCCATTATTGCCGGAGACTTCAATACTAATTTAAACCCAGAAACAAACAGAATAAGCCAAGCACCTGCACATCAAAACCATTCTAAAAGCCTCTTAGAGAACTTATTTCTCTTTGGTTATAGGCTAGTAGTTATATATTTTATTAGCACTATTTTTGTTAGCTTCATTTTGTCTTTGTATTTTACTAGCAATAATTATGTTGCACTATATTAAGTTAGTTTTTTTTCATTTTAAAAGTGAAATCTACTTTTTGTAACTTTATTAGTTTTACTAATTATAGATATATTACAATATAATACAACTAAGCAACTTATATATAGAGAATTCAGACTACTTTATCTGTAATATAAGCTTTATCTAGTAAGGTGTTATCTGTTTAAACCTAACTAGGATTTTTTGTATTTCTGATTATTTTTATTAGTGTTCTATATATATTTTCTATATTATTCACATAGTCACAAATATACTTTTAAATAAATATTACAACTAAGGCCTAATAACTAGTTTACTTTCTAATTTGATGATAGATGTTGATATCAGTGTTTTCTTCAGATACTAGGCTCACTATCTTATATCTTATAACTTTTGCCTTTATCTACTAATATTCCTTCAAGACTTTTCTTTTTTCTTTAAGGTACTAGTCTTCACAGCTCTTATAATTATTATTTTTTTTTTTTTTTTGTTTTTTTTTAAGGTGAGGTCATGCCTCATGTCTTTATTAATATATATGTGTATATACAAATTTATTCAAATTATTCTATACATTTTAATATCATAACTACACAAGACTTAGACTACTTTATCTATGACCTAAGCCTACCTAAGCCACTATGTTCCCGTTCACGTATAGCCAGGATTTTTGTATACTATTACTAAGTTATTAAGATTTTCATTTATTACTATATTCCCCCCATGTCTTACATCGTATAACATCCAATTTCCAAATTGGTTTTATCGGAAGATCGCTCCTGATGAGCTCCCAGTTCTTTGGTGTACCTGATGAGGCCTTATTCTCAGGGTTCCCTGCTCCACAGGATCCAGGTATTACCCGATTTTTGATATTATCTCTGAAGTTTGCCATGTGTCAGGGCTTAGCATTAGTGTTACCGGTTTGTACTAGTGGATCATACCCTTTATAGTACTTCCTCCTATGGTAGCTAGCCTTTTCAATCCTCCAGAATGCTTAAACCTAAGGCTGATATCTGTATGAGATGAATCCGGTGACTTCACCATATAGGTATTACCATGCTTCCGATTCTGGTCTTTTATGCGTACCAGGTTAGATCCCAACCTCTATAGTGATAATGTCCTCAATAACCAGTAATTATACATTGCCAGAGGTGCTTCCAAATTTGGTAAGGCCAATCCTTTACCACAGATCGTCCTCGTATTCACCGCTTCTCTCACTACTCCAGTTTTGGTAGTGTCGTATTACTCTCCCAAGCAAGTACCCAACGCCAATATTCCAAATCGGGACTTATATGCGCAATCTAATGATCACCCTCCCAAACAAGTACCCCACAAGTTGGGTGTAGGGATGTTGGTGTTGCCTAAAGCGGTGGTGAAGGGATGTTGGTGCTGCCTGTGCCTACGAGGACTTACATATGCAACCGTTTCACTAACCAAACCTTCTGTGACGCCGCTGTCACACGTGGTGCCTGCACTCTACAATTGGATCTCCTTCCGGGAATTCCTATTCCAAACCCGTACTTGCACTTGGACTTTCCACAGGGCTT